TGTGTGTGTGTGTGTGTCGTGTGTATATATGTGCGTGTGTGTATATGTGTGTGTGTGTATATGTATGTATATATATATATATATATATATATTCCACACAAATCTACTTTGCTGTAACACACCCAACCGTCCCCATGTTATAAGTGTAAAGCTAATGTGGACAAAATGCAGAATAACACGAACGAAATCCAATGAAGAGTGTGGGAATAACTGCAAAGTTTGGAGAATTGTCACAGAAAGTCTTTTAAATTCTATCTTTTCAGCCCTTGGTGGGTTTTGGTACTGAAGGTAATCGTTCCAGCTAAACGTAATGGAGTGGAAAGAACAAATGGCCATTAGTATCGTTGTAACATAATAAAAGTTTTAATTGTTTCCGTGCCTAACCCTGAGTTCATTAGCACAAACAAATGAGAATATTTTTATGTTTTATTCCCCGAAATGATAAAGCCATCGGAAAAGTCTTCGTATTTATTGATGAACATGAAGTAGAATGGAGAAAAAATGCCCTAAAAAGTCGTAGGAAACATAAAAGCTTGTAATTTTTCCCATCTAATTTCATATAACATATTGTCTCTTGATATTTATCTTGAACACTTATGTTACTCTTTATGTTGCATGATTTTGACACGTACAAGTACATTACTTGAGAGTGGCCAAGAAAATTCTAGTTTCCGTTTCTAAATTCTAATGCGTATTTAATTTTTTGTGCGGATCGCTGTAAATATTAATTTCCTTTTTATTAGCTTTTATTCTGTATTAGTTTAATTAATAAAACATTTGTTTTAATCAAAATGTGATTCAAAACTACAACTAACACGCACTTTGTTAAAACTAAGTGTAGTTTTATTTTGGATTATTGGATGTTTTTAGTATCGGAGGGGAAGGTGAAAATTATTATTTTAAACGTGCATTAGTTTGATATATCTTATATACTTCTTCAATACAGAAAAGGTAAGTTCAGTTTTACGTTATTTGAAGAATAAAGAAAGTCAGTTTTAAAACAAAGCTGTGAAGAATCTTTTACTGCATTTTGCTAAAACCATTTATTTATGAGGATCGTTTTATTTTGAACTTGTGAAAGTAGAATTCATATGGGCAGAACGTAACGCAGTTTATGCCACAGATTTAACTTGCAAAGCTGCCTATGATCCTATGATTTCATCAACAATATTTAATCAATATAAGTGTTTTTCATTTTTTACTTTGAGGGCGGTTGCCTTGTACTTCGATCATGTATTAAGTGTGCCATTAAATGGAAAACCTCTTTACATAGAACTGCAGCATTTGTTGTATTCTTGTCTTGACCAATGTACTTACCTCGGCTTTTGTTATTTTTTGTCTTGGATTTGTTGTTATAGTTTCGAGAACTGCATTTTTCCTTGAGGGGGACGCTAATCCACCGCAGTTTAATCCCCAGCTATTAGCTGGTACACATATTACAGATGGATAGACTGAAGTAGATATGGGATACAGTGTATTCCTCAAGGGTATAACGAATAGGCTCCGGTGAGCTTCGAACCCCCAACCTTTCGATTATAAATCCAAAGCGTAAACACTAGGCTACGCCACTTTTAACATAATAAATCAAGAAAAAGGTAACATAATGTCCGAGTCTGAAGCGCTTTGGAATGTTACCAAAAGAAAAAGATTCACATAAAACACACTACACAGATACAGGAACACAACTAAAATATCACCTGGTTAATATCTATGTTACCTGACGCTTTCAGCCAGATATTATATGTGTTACGCGTAGCAGGTAATAAGGTGTAAAGCTTACTGAGAGTAGTTTGTTCGCGTTGGTTAAATAGAATAGCCTTAGGGATTGCTTACAATAAGCATCACTTTTCACATCTGCTTCATTAGTAACAACATGCAAGATTTACAGGCAATCTCTTCTCTCTCTGAAACAAATTCGGTTTAAACTTACGACTTAACACGGGTTACGTGTGAAGCCATAAAGTAAAAACACGAGCGGTATTTCGTTAAATGCCGAAGTTTGAGAAGTATCGAGATATTCATTATTGGGTTGACTTAAAAAATTTAACGTATTATTTTGTAGATAAGATATACTAAGATCTTCTTACTCTGTATAATCGGAAAAGGTTGAATTAATTACAAGTGTAATTATTGTTCTTTAAATTCCCGCTTATTGGCAGAAATTTTAACCTTCCAAAAATGTTAGTATATCCTTATAATTAACTACAGGTTTCGTATCGCATTGATTTTTTAAAAGCCTTTTCTAAATTATTTACCCCCAGAATGGTTTATGAAGTCACGATTTTGTTGGTTATGGGGCTTATC